GAGGTTAATTTCTGATTTCCAATATGTACATGTTTTTCCTGATCCGATTTCACAATTAGGAACACGTTACGTATACGGTTGTGTATGGTTAATATTTGGAAAAATGTTAGCACAAATTAAATCTCAACTCTGATTTTTGATTTTCTAACAAATAATGCTTTTCAGCAATTTTTTATTGTGCATTTCTGATTGTAGCAGACCATTTTTAAATCATGAGTACTCAGTAGAAATCTTTGAGATTGTGCTTATTAGCATTGGATTTCCACAGTTTAAAGCAACAGAGGAGTAATGACAGTAGTGTAAAACTGGGGAACTGTCAGGGCAGCTGCCTTATGCAGGAGTACCTCTAAAATTAGAAAACAGTCAATAAAGTTGTAATGCTGAACATTGTAACATCTTATCTACACTGCAGTAATATCAATTGACAGGTGATGCATTAATAACAGATAGCTCTGTAATATGTAATGTATCATAGTGGAGCTTAGTGGTTCCCAACCTATTTTCCAGTGTGACCCCAGCAAAGACAAATCTGCAATAAAGCAGCATTGTAACACTTGGTACATAATTATTACAGTTGATGTATTGTACAGATAAATATGAAGATGAACATCTGTGCCAGTAAAGTAATTTGTAAAAATATTATTTATGTACTCTGACATCTCAGACGAGTAAAATAGTTTTAATTTTGCCCTGAGGATTTCAAATGACTCAAAATAATATTCGTAAGCCAGAGGATGCAGTTTGTGTGAGTTCTACTGCACACAATGCAACTTTAAAATAGAATGAGTTTAATTCGCAAGGTTAAGTGGCATAAATGAAAGTGGAGCTGTCCTTCCCAACCCGGGAAAGGAGTGCTTCAGAACAGACATTGAACATAACACGTGACAGTTAATGACCATTTGAGGTTTCATCCAAGCTCTCTGTATTTCTTTGCTAACAGAAAACTGAATGAAGTTCCTCTCCCCATTCTAGCACAACTGCGTGATAGAACATAGAACAGTACAGCACAGTACAGGCCCTTCGGCCCACTCTGTTGTGCCGAACTTTTACCCTAATCCTAAATTCTATCTAACCTCCGCCCCTACCATATACTGTCATCCATACACCTATCTAATAGCTGCTTAAATACCCCTAATGAGGCCGACTCCTCTACCCTGTCCGGCAATGCATTCCACGCCCCGACCACTGAGTAAAGAACCTACCTCTGACATCTCCCTTATATCTACGTCCACACACTTTAAAACTATGCCCCCTCGTAATAGCTACCTCCACCCGAGGAAAAAGTCTCTGGCTGTCCACTGTATCTATACCTCTGATCATTTTGTACACCTCTATCAAGTCACCTCTCATCCTTCGTTCTAAAGAGAAAAGCCCTAGCGCTCTCAACCTTTCTTCGTAAGACCTTCCCTCCATTCCAGGCAACATCCTGGTAAATCTCCTCTGCACCTTTTCCAACGCTTCCACATCTTTCCTGTAATGAGGCGACCAGAACTGGACACAATACTCCAGATGTGGCCGAACCAGGCTTTCGTATAGCTGGAACATAACTTCACGGCTCTTGAACTCAATCCCTCTAGTAATGAAAGCTAACACACCATACGCCTTCTTAACAACTCTATCCACCAGGGTGGCAGCTTTCAGAGAACTGTGGAGATGAACCCCAAGATCCCTCTGCTCCTCCACATTGCCAAGAATCCTTCCGTTAACCCTGTATTCTGCTTTCAAGTTTAATCCTGGTTTTTCTCACGTTTTAGACACCCCAGTAAGTCAACACGTTGTACTTGCTGCTAGGCATCTTTTCTAAAGTTAAAGAACACTTTGGGCTCAAGGTCTGCACCTTTAGCTGCTTGGTGTTAATAATCCAGTAGGCCC